TGAAGTCCAACCAGACCACGATCACGGTCTGCAAGCTTCAGCAATCCCGACATCACCCGAACCTAGTCCGCCGCCTCCCACGACCAATCGCCGTGGTCGGGAGGTACGTAAGCCCGTTCGCTTCTCCGACTATGTACAGTGTAAATACTTTTAACTTTGTAGATATTGTATATATTTGCCTCATTTTTGGTCGATTAACGTTTTGAAAACAAACAAAAATATCAAAAACCCTCGAAAAACCTTTTTTGAAAAAATATTTAAAAACCAAAAAATATTTAAACATGCAGCTCATTCTTTTTTTGGCGTTTTCTGCGCGTGTTTTTCTATTTTCTCGTCTTTACATGCCCTAACCCTCCCCTTCGATCGACTGGCCCACACGAGGAATGTTTTCGCGGACCTTGACGCGAACACTGGTCGCTTCTCCGCGGGATGAGGATCGCTTCTCCGCGAGACGAGGGTCGCTTCTCCGCGGGACGAGGATCGCTTCTTCGCGGGACGAGGATCGCTTCTCCGCGAGACGAGGGTCGCTTCTCCGCGGGACGAGGATCGCTTCTCCGCGAGACGAGGGTCGATTTTCCGTGGGACCATGGTCGTTTTCTTCGTGGGACGAGGGTCGTTTTGGCGCGGGGCGGGGTGCGGCGGGGGGAGAGACCACTCCCAAGCGCACCGTTTGGCAGCAGCGGAGGTTGAGGTCCTGTCGGCCTTTTTCTGGGCTAGCCAGTTTTTTTGTAGTCCGACAAGCCCGCTCCAACGGCTCGCCGAAATGCACCCTGCCCTGCATTCAATAAATAACAAATCATAAACGGCACAGCGGACTCCGACTTCCGACGAACCCCCATTTACACGAACGCACACCCATTTTTACTCGGCACGATTTCGCCTTACGAACCTGGTTTCAACATCCCTTTTCGATTTCGAAGGCTTTCTATGTTCAGCCTTCTAGGAGGGGAGCTCTGTAGCGCCCAAAAAGATAACTCTTATCTTTCGTGTACAATTTACTTGTTGACCGATTGTACATTACTCCTTCTTGTTTTAATCTTACAACCGGCTCGACACACAACTGCCTTGTAAGTCCCCGCGCTCACGTGTACGCTCTTGCCTCGCTTCATCCGTCCGCTTATTGTTGTAGCCCATCGAATACAGTCCGCTGTGTCCGACTCCAATTGCCTTCTGATATCCGCGCTTAATTCCGCGCATCGTCTCGGACTAGTATTAACTAGTCCTACACCGTGCACCCCGTCCCCTCCAGCAACGACCAACTGTCTCCTGGAGCCAGTAAGGGCGAGGTAGTAGGTAATAGACAGGTAGGCACCATGTCAACATGCACATCAAGCGCAGCCACACCGGGGATATCAAGCAACAGCCAATCACTTGAAACGACAAGATGAAATAAAACAAGTCCAATAATGCATACACACACGGCGGCATAACTCTTCGCCAAATAAGCAGATGAGGTAATTTGGTTAGCAACGAATCCGCGATAAGGAAAAGATGTCCACAAGTTACTTAAAAATGCAACGACCGCAACAAAGTTACAGAAGATAAGCGCAATTAGTGTAAGCAACGTGGCCAGTTAATAGAAGATTATTCAGGTAGGCAGAACAAACCGAATAAAGTGGAATGAAATTTAGCCAGCTTAAAAATACCTAGTTTAAGTGTAAGTTGGTTTAGCCCAACTGCGGTGAAGAAGCATCAAGAATGCAACATTAGCCTCAGAATGGGGCGCAACCTGGCAAACATAATCCCTATAAAACACCCCTACTGTCTTTCTAATAGCACTGCTACGAGGCGGATGTGACCCGCCTCCAACTAAAGTCACGGCCCCGTGATTACCAAACTACACTTCCACCACGGACGTCACTCATCCCTTCTCACACTATCCACGCAATCAATCACCATTACAGCGGCACATATTCAAACTCAAATAACAGCTACACACATGCACTCCCACATACATGTATGAACTCACTGCTCCAATGTTCATGGCTAACTTGCACCACTTTTGTATCTTCCCCGACGTTTGGTTGTATCTTAGACATGATCATGCCTACATAGGCGTGTCTCGCATTGTCCGAGCATCAATAATTTATTTATTTGTTTAGTTACTTTCCACTTTGAGGTGGACCATTAAAACCCATACCTATGCGGACTGTGACAAGACGGGTGTACTGATTGAGCACTTATTATTTAACGGGATTTGCCGTGGTGGAAATACAAGTCCGTTCGCTGCTTCAAGAACAGAGCCATCCTAAAGCTGCTAGGCCTGAGTGAATTCACCCAAAGCTTCTGCATTAGCTGGCAGCGGAACTAAGTGGACCGCTGACGATGGTGTTTCAGAATTCACTCGACAGTTGTACATCAGCTTCTGAATGAAAAGCGGTTGCCTACCCTCCCATCTTCAAAAATGGCGACAGAAGTCTGTAAGCTAATTATAGGCCATTTAATCTGACTAACCTCGGGGTCCAACTGCTTGTAAAGCTAGTGAGAGTTTTGTTAGAAAGTCACCGTAATAGATTTACTGCATACAAGAATAAAAAACCCAAGCGATTTTTCTATGGTTCCAGTCTTGTCTGAATTGGCTTCCCACATGGAAACAAATTGGCTCAAAGGTCGGTACGCACCTAACGTCATTTGTATGTACCTACAGCTACTACCGACCCCCATTAACTAACCTTCCTTCTATGAATCCCAACTTCCTTGACAGCAAGTGAAGTGCCACTGGGGTAGAACTATCTGCAGCCACCTTTCCACAGCACCCATCGGACGACTATCGGCAACAGTCCCTTATATGGCCACGCTGCCCCGTTTCCCTGGCGGCGTCCAACATTCGTCAGATAGTTTTCCGACAACAAGTGGCGTTCGTCGGGGTTGTCCGAATTCCCCGTTTTTGTTCAATTTCATCTTGGACTCCGTCACGCAGTGTTCCTTCACGGAACCTCACGATGTAGTCCTGTAGTTCTTGCCTAGTGAAAAGCCCGCTGATCATGTTTATGCTAACGATTTCGTCTTGCTTTTCGACGATGTTGCGGCTACACATGCAACCATGAATTGCCTGTCTAGATTGGTCCCATTATTCGGCATGCGCTTCATACCTTCAAAATGCAAAGTGTTCCTGCAAGACCACCGGCTACTTGATGACCTCTTGACGCATGTTAAGGAGGAATTCGAGATAGTTGACCAATTCGCCTAGCTTGGCAGCTGCATCAGCAAAGATGGGGTGTATAGCTACTAAGGTCATTTCATGTATTGCAAAAGGTAGGACTGCCTATTTGAATCTGCAACATCTTTGGAGACAGAAGGGAGTATTCTTCCGTCTGAAAGTCCGTGAATACAAGACCACGGTGAGGACCGTTCTGTGCTATGGCAGTGAGACTTGGCCCCTTCGGTCTGAAGATCTGAGGCGCCATCAAGTCTTTGAGCACCGTTGTCTGCGAATTATTGCTGGTGTCTGATGGAACCAGCGTGTCCGCAACGATAATATGCGTAGGTGTGTACTAGGTAGTGATAATCATGCTAGTTCCCTAGAACAACAGATAACACTGAATAAGTTGTATTGACTTGGCCACGTCATACGTATGCCTGATCACCGGTATAAACTTATCGTACCGAAGTTGAAGCGGGTCGCTCACCAACTCTGTTTCGAACGCAGAGTGGTGAATGTCTGGAACGACCTGCCGCAGCAGGTAGTAGAGGCGAACTCAGAGTCCGAATTTAAGAAGCTCCTAGATAAACACTTTGCAGAGGCAAAATATAGAGAGCGGAACGATAAATAAAGCGCACATGTTCAAGAGCGACGAAGGATGCAGCTACACAGAGAAATCTCTATTTGTTGCTTCGAACCAGTATTCAGTATTCACCGCTTACCTAAGAGGGTCTGGTTTATTCTGCCAGGTGTATGGTGGCGCAAGGCTCGAGGTGGACAGAAGTTGACCTAGGAGCCTGAAATGAAGTCACTGACGACCGACTCGCCTTCCAGGCTGGAGGCCTGGTCACTTGCCTTGAGCTTGACTCGATAATTTTCAGCACGTGGCTCGCAACCGACACCAGTGACGCGTCCGTTGCCGTCTCCTAACCAGATTGCCTGTTTAAAGTTTGTCTGGTGCTGTGTTATCTACTGGGTAATGGCTGATTTTGACGCGGGAAAGTGAAATTCGCAAGGAAGCCATATCGCCGATGCCGCCTTATCTTTGCAAGATAGCCAGATGTTAGTGACGATATGTTGTATACACAAAGTCTGGGCGCCTTGTCCGTAAATGTTTGCTAAGGGCATTAAGGTTTTCAGGTAAGTCCCCCTTCTCTCGTTCTTATTATTCTTTATTCCGTAGGTCCTCATGTTTGTATGGGGGCGAAACATCGGTGCAAATGGCTGATGTACTGCTGTTGCTTAGGAGGATGATGACTAAGATGTGACGTATGCAGACGTAAATCTACGACAAAGGCATAATGCAGCTACAGTTACATATCATGTAAGCAAGGAAGTACTTACCGTAAGGCTTCCTTCTGTACCAGGCGTTGCGATCCAAGGTCGTAACATCAGCCTAGGAGGGTAACCATACGTTGCTCTAAATGTGAACGTATCGAAAAGTGTACCACATCTTACCAAGCACAAAAAGCACAAAATACGTGCGCTCTCCTCGGCAACCGGCACATATTTGTTGAAACTATTTGTTGCAAAAAAGGCACATCACTCATTGAATGAAAGAGTCCTCGCATTCCCCATCCTCTTCTTGCAAACATACAGCGCAAAGGCTGTTATTCGGATGCACCGCGTTGGTTGACGTGCGACCGCTCGGCCTTTGCTGTATGGGATGTGGAGCCGAGGTGGTGGTAGTCAACTTTCGGAACTTCCTCTCTGTGAGGCCGCTACAGCCTGGAGGGAACTCCGTGTGCCCCAGTTTCAATAGTGACTTACATTTCGAGGATACATGACGAATCTTCAGGTTCTCTTTTGCAGGAATAACTGCGCTCGTGGAAGATATGGCACTCGCAGGTGAATCAACTTATGTGGGTTCTGAAGACACCACAGACACAGGGACGCTATCCATTGCCTCCTCGGTTGTCCGGGATGAAGTGTAGACCAGGCGAGAGACGTTGGTTCCGGGTAATGGGAGCACCACAGGACACCGTGACGTCCGGCAAAATAGATCCATATCGCAGTCCATGGCCATAACATCACGTAGCTTGCGCATCGCATTCAGCGTCTTTGCAAACCGCTCCGACCCGTAACCATGCATCTGTACCACCATATCCCCAAATACCTTCTCTAGCGCACGCAATTTACCTGCCCAGTCAAGCACGTGTATCCTCGTGGCACGTACCTCCTGCACTTTGACAGCAGTGACCTCCTCCTTCCCAATTTCCATCACTTCATCCTCAGGACTCCGCAATATTCACCTACATTCATGCAATAAATCATTCGCACCGACATTTCGCATCACATGGAAAATGTGCCCGCAGGGCATGCCTCATTGACGGTGGAATGAACAAGTACATGTACCGCTGATCTGAATTGATACCCTGTAGATCCTACCTTCATCGGAAGCCACCAGCCCATATCCGCAGTCGAAATTGACGCTGTGTACAGTGAGACACCTATAATGGACACCGAAGCCGCGCCGTGCGTAGCCACTTAACTTCAGCATAATAGTTGCGTACGCAGAAAATTCCGGGGGCAGTGAAGCAGACCGCATGAAATCCTTCCCCAGAAATTATGTATTTAGGTCAACAACCGCCGCAATGCATTCCAGAACCATCTGAAGCAGGGTCAATATGTAAGAAGGTTCGCTCAGCTGCTCTTTAGATGCAGGTTCTCATTCTCCACTCTGTTTGTCGTGTGGCAGCCAGACAACACAACATCATGCAGCTTATGCGCAGCACGGGAGCTAGCCCAGTCAAGCCAAGTACTTTGTAAATACTGATACGATTCTATGTTCTTATGCTTTATGATGTCCAGGAGACAATGCAACTGCGCCGATTCTCTGATATAGTCCAAAGCTCGCATCCGTTGTCGAAGCGTTACCTTGTCAAGCGCATGCACATCGCTTAAACGCGAACATTTCCTGCTCATATCATGGATGATATGAAACTGGAAATATACCAGGGCTGCATCTGGGTAAACGACATGAAATGCGCTGACTTCCGCCATGCATTTGTCCATGAGTACTGTGCGCACATTCGCAGTTTCCAGCACCATTTTACGCATCGCCTGCACCGCATGACGGTAACTATAGGCGGTTTTGTTGGAGAGTAATACATAAAAAGTTACATGGAACTACCAGTCACATCAACGAACATGTAGTGCCACAAAATGTAACCGTCGCAGTTAATCTGATGAGTTGCGTCCACCAAAATCTCACTATAACGTGCCCCCAATTACGCCCTCTCGGAAGGCACAAAATAAAAATACCTCAACTCCATACACTCCCGTACAACTGTGCATATGCTTTTTCTTTCTAAAGGCTCCACAACTTGCTCGATTTCGTTTCCGTTCCCCTGACGCCCGCGCCGTCTGGTGCCAAACAAATCTTTACGGTTTAAACGCGAATCATAAGTACGCATTGCAAAACGCCGCATTTCCTGCGTGTTCCGGAAAGCTACAATTAGTCGCTTGATATAATCCCCCTGCGCAGGAATTACCACGTGAAACACATGAGAGTGCTTCATGAAGCAAAGACCGAGTTCATAACGCGAACCTTGTTTTATGACCGAGAACCTTGCCTTGCAGTGATATCCGCACATTATAAATGATGATCTAACAACGTATTTCCATGCTTACTGACTTCCGCGAGCATGGGATCGCCGACTATGAACGCATCGATAATAAACCGACTTGTACTTGAAGCCTTCTGGAAGATCTTTCCCCCTTTACGCATGTAATTTGCAGCCAAGAACACGTTTCATGCAGTTAAAACGTTTACAACAGTAAGGAATAATGCCTATGTACCGTTCGCATAAAAAGAAAGGGTATCAGCAGTACGCCGGTATACAGTACCGATGCTTCGCTATCGCGCAATCACCGCCAGTCGCTCGTGGGCTAAGGATACGGTGAGCTTCGCCCGATCGTCCACGTTGGCTCGAACCCGCAGGCTTGTGATACTTAAGGCCATTGGGTCTGCAATCGCATTCATTACTTTTTGTGTCCACAAACATCACACATTTGCTGGTCCACTCAGTATGTGATGACCCAGGAACGGTAACTGTTCATTACCGCGTGTTTGTCATGGCGCACGAGTTGCCATGAGTATGGAGACGTTTCTCTGTTTTCAGGTTTGCTCCCCTTACTCGGCGATGCTAAGTAGTATGTTTTATTACCTCTTATTGGGGAGTGCTACTTATACGTCGGCATTTCACCTCGACTCTTCGGGGCCACACGACCAGTGCCAGTTGGATGCTGCGAGGTCGCCCACACTTGCGCACGCTCCAACCGGTGACCATTGGATTTAAACGCAGCCACCTGAACTACTTGGTCCCCGGTCTTGGGCTGCTTATATTGCTACTAAGAGAAACCTGTTCTGAAGCTGAGTCTTGAGAGCGCATTTTGTTCACCTTCACATATCCACTACGGCCCGTGAAAAGCGCAGACAGAACCTTCCATCATTTATGAACCCTTCGGTAATGTAATACTTTTGCCATATAAGCCAGCTTTAGTAATTACGTGCTCCCATGCACCATCGTAGAGCTCTGTCGGCCGGGAGCCGAAAGAGTTGTGCGCTTCCGCTGTAATCCTGAAGGGTCGCTCGTTCGACTCCGCGTAGTGACAGGCGATATTCTTAGCCCTTGTGCGACCGGTGGTGGTCTCCTGGCAGCGAAGCGCCGACACGGTGTCGGCCTACAGCTGATGACTTCTTTTTCTTCCTTTCATTTTCCCATTTATTCGCGGAACCGGAGGGTTGAGCTCATGGCACCCCATAAAAGTCAGCTTGTCCAAATAGTGAGTGTGTCGCACTATTTTCTATTTAAAATCGTGATTGGGTTACGTTTTTTCATATTTGAAGTATTTTAAAATATTTCGCACTAAAACGGTCCATCAAACTTTTCTGCAATCTCTTAGTGTCTCTACATTCTACAAGGCAGTTGAATCCAAATAGTATGCCTTTCTTCTTTTTTGTCCAACACATCCACGCAAATCACTAAGGATCGCTCATTGCCTCTCCAGCGTACTTTTTTCACGAACTTTTCAATACCTTTTGTCTTAGTTCCTTTGGTTTTCGCTGCTATTCCCCGATGCTAACCTTTTGTTGTATCGCAGCCCGTTCATTTAATGTTGGAGGAGCTGCCTAAATTTCTGTTTGTGGTCTACATCTGATGTTATCACTGTCTTTACAACCCTTATTAAGCAGTCGTCTTTTTAGTCTAGGCAAACTTTAAAGGTTCCAGTGAACTCTGAAAGGTCTGATCGATATCACTTCCCGTCTCTTGCTTTCAAGCTTGAGGTACGTAAGTGATGTGTTATCCTAACAACTATCGGCAGCCTGTTTTTGTCTCTTTAACAACAAGACACAGCTTATTCATTATTTTCACATCGTTTCATTGCTACACTCACATGCAGTGTGAGCGTAGCTGTAGTCGGACAAAGCATCCATTGCTCTTCGTACCTCACAGCCGGGTCTTATTGTGTACTTATCCCGCTATAATGAATCAATCTTTATCGCCGCTGCTCGGCCCCATCTGAAGTACCACTCGGTTTGGGGAATATAGTGTAATGCGAAAGAGTATGCTCGTATTTATCAATATCGAAGATTCCGGAACCCCTGGCTCCATTCATTTTTAATCAGAATGGCTTTCATCTGTCGTTTCAGTTAACTCTTCCTCGTAACTTGTGAAGCTGTGGTTTTTGTTCCCATTATCATTAAGTCCCTAGCCCTAGCATTTGGACGGGGGCATTTCTTATCTCCACCTGTCTGTTAGCTCAATGTACTAGAGCTCGTCTTCTTCGTTATCGGTGTTGGAACGCCCGACAGTTTTGCACTAAAGTAATCAGGACTTCTCCAGACGGTCACATCCACGGGCATTGTGAAATCCTGCGAACTTTGATCTCTAGAGGTTAAGCTTTGGAAGTGGATATTGGATATCCGTGAATGGTTGTGAACAACGCACAACACTGCTATGGGCTCCACGCCGGTCGGCACCATTGTCAATCTTGTAATCATTCTTTCTATCATTACCATGTCTATCTATATTGATTTTATGCATATTCCTCACTTTCTCAATATTCCCTCTAACCGTTTCAATCTGGCGAGAAAATCCAGGTAACTCACCTACATTCGTGTCTACCAGGGGTGTCTTCACAGAGGCGACACTGTGATAAACACGAGAAACGGCCGTCGTATCCGCATCGCCCGACTGGGCAGTGTGCAAGTCACCAGTTTTAAAGAGTTGGAGGTCGTATACGCCTGTGATATAGCGACCTTTTTCGGAGTTGATTGACTCTCGGGTGATACTCTTGTGGATACGAAAATGGGCAAGTCGTTGTCAATGGCAAGTTCAAACACGTTTTATGCGAACATTTATCCTCCAAATCCTTTTCACATCCACACTAGAATCAGCACTGGATGCACCTTCTGTGCCCCTATCTACAGTTGTCGTTAAATCATTATGCAGCATCGGTAGTCTGGGGTTTACCCAACTAGTGAGCCTTGGTCGAGTCCTCTATACTGGTCACAATCCCCACTGGCTAACTAACATCCGTTGTGAATTCTCTGTGTTCGCAAAGATACAATTCTAACCTACAGTTTCTGATCAAGTAGAATGGATATAACGGTCAGACATTGACGTTCTTCAGCCCCTTCACTTGTTGATTTATATGCCGCGGGTGTGCGACACGTCGATCCAGATAGAGTAGATTATTTCTGGCGCAAGACTCATTTGCTTGCAATTTATGACGGTCTGCCACCATCTTTCCTAGCCCAATAACCTAAGTTGCTGGCTAGTTTGCGCATTCTGCTTGTGATCATGGAATCGGTTTCCTGTAGGCGAGCGAGGAAATGCATGTCACTGACGAGCCACACTAGAGCGAAGCGGCCGTGTGGTGCTTTTTTGGACTGTTGCTTATACTATCGTGGTTGTGAGCTACTGAGGATAATCTCTGCGTTTTCATTCAGATTCCCTCATTCTAAGAAACCTGAAAACTAAAGTTACGCTTCATTCGCTACCTGTCACTGTCTAAGCTTAGACTGCTTCACACGTTATCTTTCATCCGCAGCTCCAAGTTTCATTTTCCACATTGGAAACGGTACATTTACTTGCACAGGCAACAACTACTGCAAATGCGATCCGACATCTACACTTGTGAATATATGTCTGATTTGGTAATTCCGATGCGGAAAAGATCGATGCGCTCAATGATTTCCTAAGAACCTTAATTTTGCGAAGTGAGGTAACTCCCCTTCCGACGTTTACTGCTTGTGTTCCCGGTTCGAGTCTCATTCTTTTCCTGGGTTTGAATACCCACCAGCATCCTAACTCACAGTCCGCTTCTTTTTCTTGTTTGGCAATGAGTCACCAATGGATACTACTCGGGTGTTGCCGACACGCTTTTGGAAATAAATAAATAACATTACTTCTCGATTTTCACAAGATATGTCGATCATACCTTGATAGGATGCGCTTAAAATATCGTGCATACTCGTTTATCCACTAACCTGATAACAAGTTGATACTGATGGTGTGTAAGCGGCCAGATTGGGTAAATTCGCAGAAGTCCGTTTAGCTCAAAAATAATACACCCATTTGATCCTGTGTGGAGTAAGTAACAGTAACAGCATAGTGGTAGGTGAGGGTTAACACAGCAGGATTGAATATGTAAAAATGTGCTTCGAAAACCGAAGTGGATGTCGGGCGATCAATTGTGCTTCCTATCAAGAAATACATGGGCCGGGTCTGCAGAAAAGTAGTGCAATTTGAGTGGGCGTGTCGTATTGGGAATTGCTGGTACCTCGATTGCAGTGGAGATCCTGGTGGAGTAGATCCTTCTACTGATTAGTCGTCTAAATCGTTCCTTATGTCATGCATGACGTGAGGAAAGTGGAGGAATTATTGCTGATTTCGTGCATGAGACTGAGCGATTCTGATATCCTACTCTTGTTCACACAGCGTCGATGGGTACGGGTCGCTGGCATCGATTTTATGGTCAGATGTTCCTTACATCAGATTATTCCTTACATCAACAATGCAGCTTCGCCCAAAATGTTGCAGCCGTCAAAATCGAATCTTTATACTGTTATTACATTTACGTGTTGACTGGTAATTGTTGGTACCCCACAGAGCAAAAACAGTAAGAAGATGCACACAGGGTGGACCACGAGAACGAATAAACTTGCAAGTTTCGCTGACGTTCCATAGTGGCCGTGTATAGCATAGAATAGAAATAAATACATGTGTGTAAATAGATCCATGTGCACTTATATACCGTCATCCACTTCTGAATCATACGGATTATATATATATATATATATATATATATATATATATATATATGACGGGAGAGCCTATGGTGCGCTGATGCTAGTGGTGGCTATATCCTGACAGATGGTCTACCAACTGACGCTACTGTTGTGTCATTCGCTTATGTCCTGGGCGCCTACTCGTGGCGACCGCTGGGTGGAAGCTGGGTTACCCCCTTCTCCTTGCTAACATTCAGGACATCAATCCGCATGAGTCAGTGAACTGACCATGTGCTAGACCCGCTGTCTTTCGGGTGTTCATCTAATCGAAGGCTTTGGCTGATGACCCGAGTCGTTCTCTTGTCAGGAGTGGGCGCTTTGCCAGTATCCTAGTCCATCCTCTTCGGAGGTTAGGAAGTGGTCGATGACCCACTTCACGTAAAACCTAGCCATGGGAGTGAACAGGTCTACGTGTTCTAAGTTCACAGCTCGATTGGCATAGAGCACGAGCGCCACGCATTGTCTTTGCTGGTGGGAGGGCACCTCCGGGCGTTCAATGGTTTGTTAATGCCCGCCTCTAGCCAGGCAGCCCCTGGTCAAATTGGAGCAAACTCGCTAAAACCCACATGCGTCTGGCCGTGGTCGCAGGTGCGTATCCTACTACGGTCGCAAAATATATAAATCGTTCTAGTGCCTCAAAGGCTGTGTGTGACGGCCGCAACGCGGATCCCAATCTGTCTCTGCAATCACATTCCCGAGCTGGATCTGCTCGCCACTGCCTTATGGGTCAGGCTATTGAGCGAAAGGCTCCGGGTGGAGTTCCTCAAGCTAACCGCCGAAGCACAACCGCCACCTCGCGTGCTATTGCCCACCAGTGCAATCGTATGCCTGCACCCAAAGAACTCAGCATCGGGTGTTGGGACGTGCGCACACTACTGGACCGGAACTCCAGTGAGCGCCTCGAGCGACGCACTGCACTGGTCGCGATGAAACTGGCGTGCTACAACATGGATATTTCGGCGCTCAGTGAAACCCGGCTCGCTGAGCAAGGCAAGTTGCATGAAGCAGGTGCTGGCTAAACATTCTACTGGGTGGGCAACGCCGCCTCAGGACCACGTGAACCTGGGGTCGGATATGCAATATCCGATCGCCTGAATGGTCAGCTGGTGGGTGAACCAGCAGGCATCAGCGCGCAACTGATGATTGTTCGCCTACGACTCGGAAGAGGTAA